AGCTCTGACACAAATGTGCTGACAAATCCATATCCCATCATCATGACTGGAGATTTTTTTAAAAACAGAAATCTGAGATGTGCTAACGGAGCTGGGAGGTGGGAAGTGGTATCAAAGTTTTGGCTTCAAATGCCTCTCTAAAGAAAGTTATGAAATGTCTCTCTTAAAGACACATAGAGAGGAGCTTTAGGATAAAGTTGTCTTTGAAACCCTTTGGGTCTCCCCATCCTGTCTGCTGGTAAGAATCAATCACAGTCTCCATTTAAATCATTGAAACAAGCAGCAAGAAGGAAGCAACTTGCATGCGCAAGGATTCCCCAGTCAGATAAACAGCTGGTCTCTCATCAGAAACCTTGGGGGCCAGAAAGTGGGGTGCCATATAGAAAGTGCTGAAAGAAAGACAATTAACTAACAATTCTATATTCAGCAAATCTATCCTTCAAAAATGAAGGAGAAACGATGGTATTCCCAAATAAACAGACACAGAGATGTTGTTGCTAGAAGATACACCCTACAAGAAATATTACAGGGAATCCTTCGGGATGAAATGACACTAGAAAGTAACTCAAATAAATTCACATGAAGAAAGAAACAGCATCAGTAATAATGTTAGGTAGAAAGACAGATATGAGCAGCTGGGGAAGCAGAAGGTTCAAGGAAAAAACTGCACAAACTCTCCCCAGAGAGGAGGTCCCACATGAAGCAACAAAAGCTTTGCAGGGAGATGACTTTCTTGCCTATGGGGACCAGGCTGAACTGGTCCCAGCCAGGTCCTAACGCAGGCACAATCGAACAAAACTAAGAACCACCCAAATCACACCTCATCATAATCTTATTTAAAATAAAATTGTGGTTTTGCTACTCCCACCCATTCCCCATGGGCTTTCTGTATGCATTTTGGGAAAAGACCTGCGCACCAACAGGAATGGGTGTGTAACTAGAACTGTCTATCAAATGACCTCACCCTGTCAATCAAAGAAGTGCCTCCCTGCTAGGTCACGATAAATAGACCCTCCTCTAAATGATCAGGACCTTTGTCTACCTTGACTCTGGCCAGCTCCTCCTTGGAGTGTATTAAAATAAAACTTTCACTCTGTTTCACGAATGTGTCTCTGCCTTTCAATTCTTTATTGCTGCAGGGCAAGGACTGAGGAGAACAAATGCAACTCATAACAATAGTAACTCTATGGGTAAATAAAAAAGACAGCATAAAAGTAGTTTTTATTTGTAATTGCTTCTTTCTCCTACATGAGGTAAAATACAACTGCATAAGGTAACAGTTATAAAGCTGTGTTGATAAGCATACACTGTATAAAGATTTCATTGCTATGACACAGCACAAAAGAGGAGGGAGGAAGTGGCATTACATAGTAGCAAAGTTTTACATACTACTGAAATTAAATTGGTGTCAATCCAAATTAGATTGTTATAAATTAAGACATTAATTGTAATCTCCAGTAAAACCACTAAGAAAATACCTCAAAAACATAATGAAAGAATAGAGAGCCCAAGTATAAACCCAAGCATATATGGTCAATTAATATATGATAAAGGAGCCATTGATGTACAATGGGGAAAAGACAGCCTCTTCAACAACTGGTGTTGGCAAAACTGGACAGCTACATGCAAGAGAATGAAACTGGATTATCGTCTAACCCCATATGCAAAAGTAAACTTGAAATGGATCAAAGACGTGAATTTATGTCATGAAACCATAAAACTCTTAGAAGAAAACATAGGCAAAAATCTCTTGGATGTAAACATGAGCAACTTTTTTCTGAACACATCTCTTCAGACAATGGAAACAAAAGCAAAAATGAACAAATTGGACTACACCAAATTCAGAAGCTTCTGTACAGCAAAGGACACCATCAGTAGAACAAAAATGCATCCTCTGTTTGGGAGAATATATTCATAAATGACATATCCAACAAGGGGTTAACATCCAAAATATATAAAGAACTCACATGCCTCAACAAACAAAAAGCAAATAACCCGACTAAAAAATAGGCAGAGAATCTGAACAGACACTTCTCCAAAAAAGAAATTCAGATGACAAACAGGCGCATGAAAATATGCTCTACATCGTTAATTATCAGGGAAATGCAAATTAAAACCACAAAGAGATATCACCTCACCCAATTAGGATGGCCAACATCCAAAAGACAAGGAACAACAAATGCTGGCAAGGATGAGGAGAAAGGGAAACCCTCCTACACTGCTGGTGGGAATATAAACTAGTTCAACCATTGTGGAAAGCAGTATGGAGGTTCCTCAAAAAACTAAAAATAGAAATACCATTTGACCCAGGAATTCCACTCCTAGGAATTTACCCAAAGAATACAAGATCTCAGATTCAAAAAGATATATGCACCCCTATGTTTAGTGCAGTACTATTTACAATAGCCAAGATATGTAAGCAACCTAAGTGTCCATCAGTAGAAGAATGGATAAAGAAGAGGTGGTACATATACACAATGGAATACTACTCAGTCATAAGAAAGAAATCCTACTATTTGCAACAACATGGATGAGGTTGGAGGGTACTATGCTCAGTGAAATAAACCAGGCAGAGAAAGACAAGCAACAAATGATTTCCCTCACTTGTGGAATATAACAACGAAGCAAAACTGAAGGAACAAAACAACAGCAGACTCACAAACTCCAAGAAGGGACTAGTGGTTACCAAAGAGGATGGGCGGGGGCGGGTGAGTGGGGAGGGAGGGAGAAGGGGATTGAGGGGTATTATGATTAATATACATGGTGTGGGGGGATCATGGGGAAGACAGTGTAGCACAGAGAAGACAAGCAGTGGCTCTGTAGCATCTTAGTACACTGATGGACAGTGACTGCAATAGGGTATGGGGGGAACTCAATAATATGGATAAAAGTAGTAACCACATTGTTTTTCATGTGAAACCTTCATAAGAGTGTATATCAATAATACCTTAATAAAAAAATTGTATAAGAAAAAGAAATAGAATCATAATCTACTTCAATTTCAGAAATAGGTGTGGTTAAACACCATCAATTCCAGGAGAGTTGAGGTCAGATTTTTAACTCAGCCAGAATAAATATCTCTGGCAGGGCAGAGGATATGAGACAAAGTGAAATTTAGTTATATTTTTTCTTACTCTGTTGAAAAAATATCATAAAGCACAACTAATTTCCCCCATAATTATTCGGCCTTTTTCCCTCCATTCAGAGAGTTGCAATTCCCCATACCTTGAATTTAAAGCATCTTTAGATAAAAGTCCTTTTTCTATGTAGGTTTAGCAAACTGGGAAAATTTTGCTTCATAAACATCTTTGATTACAAAACTGCTGAGGTTAGGAGTAACTGCTGCTGAAGTGAGAGGAAAACATTAACTCCAACTTGTGATCTACTTTACTGTGGTATTGGGAGGGGTAAGAGAGCTTTGCAATAAACATCGACCTTTCTGGAAAAGAGCTGTGTGAAGGTACGCTACAAAAAAAATCCCTTCACATTTGTACAGTGTATCATGCTTCCCAAAGCATTTTCACTTACATTAATTTAATTTGTTGTGGAACAAGCATATAAAACCAGAGATAATGCCTCAGGATGTAATAACAAAGGGGAACAAACACATCTGGGTCATCTGAGACTTCTAAGCCCCTCGGCTTTTACAATTTAACAGATTTTCCATTCTGACATTTAGAAGATTACATTAAAGGACACCTTTATGGATCAGGCACCTGGCTTGGCACATTACAAATAAAGATTTTTTTAAGTCCATTTATGATCCATTATTTACTTCAGGTTGACAAAAAATTATTATAAAAAATGAGTTATGTTCTACCTCAGTTTTATTATGATTAAAAGGCCACTCTATGTACCATCTTGATATCCACTATTAAATGATTATTGGCAACAGATTTCATGATCTCAGCCTCATTTTAGAACAGGTAAAGCAGTAAGGTTATTACCCTTCATTACAGACTAACAGCATGCTGAAAGCTGGAACAAGCTGTTACCAGCAATCTGCACTGGCAAACCCAGTTAGGTATCAAAGACTTGTTAGATAAAGAACTTAGCATCCCTATTGGAAGACATTTTCCAATGCTATGAATATTAAATACCTTACCTATATATAAATTGGATCTGAATTCCACATTGTGGTCTCTCACTGCCATATCCTGTGCTTCTAAGAGAACCTTCAGCAAGGAAAAGAAAGGCATTCAGAAAGACCCTGAACTGAAACGGATTTAAATTTCTCATTTCTTGTTGTTACCTCTATCATATGACTGCTAATCACAAGCCTCCATTTTAGAGTGAATTTTTAAAAGAGAATATCAGATGACAATGGTACCAAGGAGAAGGGATACAGTGAGCTTCCTTCCTCAGACAATAATTGCAGGTGCAAGGAACACAGCCCATCTTGCCAAGTTTTAAATGGCCTGTGTAAGCTGTAGAGGAGGAGACAGCAGCGCTCGTAGCTATACCCCTGGTAATGAACATTAGGCCTCTGAATCAGAGACTTGTCAGAAGTTCAAGAAGCTCAAGAGCTAAACCTTACTAAAAAGTTTAAACTTTGGGTCCAAAATAACTATTAACAACATATGACAAGTAAAGAAAATCATACTTGAAAATTTCCTTTAAGAATTATTAAATTTATACTCTATACATATTTTGAATTAACTTCCTCCAGAACACATTTTTTAAAATAGGGTAATTTGTTTACAGAAATTTAAAAAAATCAGATCACTCCTTGGAAGACAAAGAATGTAGTAGTACAAAGCTGGGCACACAATACCTAGTAATTGCATTGTTAATTGAATTAAATATAGGCACTCCAATGCAAACTCTTAGAAGTCTGAATACAACAATCTCAACTGTTCAACTACTAAACTGAAAACTTAAGATCTGACTTTAGGTGACAACTGATTGAAGTATAGAAAATAATGCTGATATCCCCAGGTGTCCTCAACCCAGAACACTCATGTGCCTAGAATGAGTCAGCACAAATACCTTTAGCACAATTGTACATAATGAATCAGCTACCTTTACAGGTACCAGGGTCTTCATCTAATCAGTCCCATCTGGTTTGCAAATACGAAAAATGGAACCAAACAGGTTAAGTGTCTGCCCATACAAATCGCAATAGAAATTGCCAAAGAAAGGACTAGACTCCAAGTCTCCTGAGTCTCAGTCTAGTGTTCTTTCCACTTAATTAGTTATCAAATCACAAGCTCTCAGTTGTGGAAGTGACAAAAGGAAAAAAAAAAAAATTTTTCTCAAAAGTGTATCAAGCCCCAAATCACTAAAAATAAGATTTATCACTTTATAGACATACAGTGAATAAATAAATACATAGATGTCTGGTACAAATAAAGGCATCTCAGAGAAAAAAATAGTTAAAGCATATAATATTCCTAAGGTATAAAGATATTAATAAAATTGAGTGCCCTAAATCATTATTATATTAAGTATGCATTTATACCAGGAAATTCATGAAATTCAGGATTTAGGCTGAGCTTACTAATACCTACAAGACAGCTAGCTATGTGCTCCCTCCCCCTACATCTTGGTTTACCTCTTTAATTATTTGGGCCCCTTTTTTGTCACTAAATTCCAACTGAGCCAAAGCCTGGTCAATGGACATTCCTCGGATCTAGAATTAAAGAGTAACAGACAAGAAAAAATAAACAAATTAGTTTACAAGATTATGTTCCCTTTTCAATGAAAAGTAAAAGCTTTACATAATCCAAATAACTTCTAAAAATTGCTAATTAGATATATGTCAATTATATCTCAATAAAACCGGGTGGGGGGAGATTTTCATAAATCCAAAAAACTAACACAGGCAAAGGAGAAGAAAACAAGTTGATAACAGATATCTTTCTTTTTAAGCCAAAATCAAATTTAAACATTTTAACCATAAGACACAGAGTATAATAATTTCAGTAAACTTAAAAGAGAGCAGACACGATAGGCTGACAAGGACCACACTAGGCATTAAAGGCATCTCCTCCTCCTTTATGTATTACATAAAGGTTGGCTTCTTTCATCTCCTCTCATATATAAATTTCATTTTCCAGGGAGAAAACTTAAAAAGCAACAATTTTGAAATAGTTTGAACCAACTTTTACAGTAGTTTGCTTCCTGGATTCTCTGGTTATAACCAGATTCCGGATGCCTTTGTTCTAAGTATCAATATACCCAACATGTTTTAGTTTCTCAGAAAAAAGGTAAAAATTACACAAAAAAACTCACTTCTGAGCAACCATTTTTGGATTATCTGCCAATTATCTGAATAGATAATTATATTATTTTGTGGGAAATTTTTTTCATTTTTTCAAATCCTGGGGGAATACTCAAAGCTTCCTTTCTTAAGTATTATATGTAATAGTAATTTTGACTTACCAATTTTGCCAAATACCACATCTTGTCTTTGCTGTATTTTATTTGCCTTCGACAATGGTAGATTTCCTTACAGATGAGGGGGGAAAAATGTTATCAAGTCATCAAAATGACAATAACATACTGTTAATAAAATTTTTACTTTCTATGCCTAATGAAGATGCTACCACAAGAAATAAAAACATTAAGAATTTGGAGATCTTTTTTCCCTTTACAAAGCTGTATTTTTTCCAAAAAGTTTTTGGAAGTTCCAAAAACTTCCAAAATTTTCCAAAATTTTCCAAAATTTTCCAAAAATTAAGGGATAAATAGAAACCATAAAATAGCTAATTTGTGACAAAATTTGCAACATTTCTATCAAGAGGAATAAATAGATTTAAATGAAAATATTTGAAAACATTTAGCTGGCTAAAACAATAGAAAAAAGGGTAAAAAAAAGGTTTCTTGTGAGGTGAACAATGGTGAAATGGACAAATATTGTAGGTGTATGGTCAAGAGCATAGGTCCTAGAATCAGACTGCCTGGGTTTGAATCCCAGCTATACCATTTACTAGCTACAGAAGCCAAGCTACTTAACCTTTCTCTGCCTACATTTCCTCTTCTTTAAAATAAAGATAATAGTACTTATCTCATAAAACCAGAATAAGGAGTAAATGAAGTAACCTATGTAAAGAAAGCACTTTACTATCCCTAGCACATGGTAAGATACCTTAGTAAATGTTAGCTTTTATTATCTTCTATTTATAGTGGTACTTTAATTTTTTAATCATCATCCATTAAACAATTTATAGTTCACAAGGCACTTTTCAAGCTCATTATTTCACTCAATCTTAACTCTTATGAGTTGGGAAAAGGGAACATTTTATCATCATGTTACAAAGAAAAAAATCAGAGAAATCAAATGACTTGTCCAGGACTGCAAAGCCTTTGAGACAAAGCTAGAAGTCAAAGTGCCATACAGGGAAGTATGTGACAGGCCTAATACAACATCTGGTACAATGTCTGGCAGGTGTATCTTTATTAAAGTTCCCATGACTCTAAAACCCACGTTCCTTTCACTATTATACTGCCACTTAAAAAAATCAGAAAACATTTGTCAAGGTAAACAATAGCAAGGAGATCTCAGAACATTCTAACATTCTGACTCCTGCTGGAAATGTTCAAATGTTTTAGCAACAGCAGAGTTTTCTCAAGTGGCTATCTTTTAATATATAACAGATTTCATTTCAGTTGCAATAGAAGCTGACAGGCTAAGAACTGTAGCAAGGGCCTAATTACATTTCTAGCAATAAAGCGTCCTGGGGAGCACAGGGAAGAACAACTGTCATGATTGATAATATTCATCTGCAAAATTAATACACTCAATAAAATCTTTTATATAGAAACCTTTCAATTCTTGCTTTCCCATGGTGGGCTATCTCTAACCCTGAATTGGTTATGATTATCTACAAATTAAGAAAAAGAGATAGTGTAATCCTGGCAAGAGCATGGGAAGAAAGGAATCAAGTACTTACAAAAAGAGGGGAGAAGTTATTCAACCATGCTCTTCTAAAACTAAAAAGCTCAACATTTACACTAGGCAGGTGCAACGTCTAAGAGCATTTTCTAAAGATAAGCCAGACAAAAATCTCAGTAAATAAACCTATCACAACAAATAGATAAGGCAGCAAAGTTGGAGGTCAGAAGGCCTGGTTAAATGTCACTGCTATTAACCAACCTATACAGTAAGTTAGGTAAAAGTTAATTGAAGATATAATGTACAATATAGTTATTCAAATGAAGTAAGCATAAATTATGAAATATCTAAACCAGTAACTTTTAAAGAAGTTAATTTATATTACAAGAAATGAAAACATTAAGAGTTGAGAAATTCTTTTCCCTTCACAAAGTTGCATTCAAACAACAAAAAGTGTCATCTAATAAAAGTCCTTACTAGAGCCTATAGAACCCCCATTAATGACTTCTAAGCATCACTTACTATCAGTTTATCAAGTAATCTATAAATTAAAAATATGCCTCTTATAGAAATGGTTGTTCAAATAGTTTTATTATATCCTCACTACACTTTTAATTTAACAGCTTTCTTCAAAGATATTCAAAAGTAAACTCAAGCCCAAATTAACAAGGTATGACTTTTATGAAGAAAACCTTTAATTTCTCTCTGGTTTATTTTCTTTACTATGAAGAAGCCACCTGTAAGATAAAGTCTACATAGGAATCTATATTTTTTGGAAACTGGTGCTAGTTGAATTAGGATGGTAGTCTTAAAAATAATAAGAGTGGCCTAAAACATGCCTAAATTGGTGATACTGATTTTAACTTACTGCTACAGGATTTATTCACTACCCCATCCACTGTTATTTGCTTAACTACATACTTCAGTGCTGAAGATTGGAATAAGCTATAATGGTAAATACTACCTGGGTCTCTCTTAAACTAGAGATACTAATAATTTTTAAAACATTTGCAGCTAGCAGATCGGCAAGTTTAGCAGTTATTGCACATTATGGCACAGTGTGTGAACTATGTGGGCAGGTGAGCAAATTATTCCTGCTAATAAACTAGGCACTTACAAAGGGCATTAATATTTCAGTCATAACAGACATAACTGATACATCACTTTGACAAATGTCAATTTACCAAATATTACTTAAAGTCAGAAAATGCTAAGGTATTTTCTAAAAGTTGTGATTTGTCCTGAAAAGGATTATACACTCAAAAAAACATCCGTGATTTATTGTTAACTATTTGAATTCTGCCATTTGTTATGTCTCCTGATCTACATCTGTCTTAACATCCAAAAAGACTGGTACTATAAAACACAAAATTTTGCTTTTAGATTCTAGACCTGACAAATACCATTAGATTTCTTTACTTCCAATTAATATATCTAAGTTCAAAGAGCTCAAGTAAGAAATAAAGTTCATTAATTATAAGAAATATTAGTTTATGAAATTTGTACAAATGTATAATTTCTTCTATATTTTGGTTAATTACAAAATGGAGTCAATTTTTAATAGCACAGATTCTGTGACAAATCTAAATTTTAAGTTCTGATGGCATGATAAAATGAGAAAGTTATAGTTATTTGCTTGAACAATTAGCATCTCTTTTTCCTCTTATTTCCCAGTCAGGTGGGAGCTCTTTAAATTAACAAATTAACTTCCCTAAATCAGAAAATAACAGAAAACATAAAACTGTCTTAATTCAGAACAATATGTAGATAGCAAATGAATCTTAATAAAATGTATACTGTCAAGTTCATATCAAAATTAAGCAAATGACATTCTTTAAAGGTATAAATTACACCATAGCCTTAAATCCCACAGACCTTTAACAGATGTTTGCTAAATTGAATGATTTATAATTAACACAGCAATTCTGTTTCTAAGTACTTATCACAGTTTATTTTCTTAAGGATTCAAATGTTCCAATCTTGTTTACTCTATTACTTGCTTTAACTTTTTAAACAGATGTGTATGTATTCCACAGCAAATTCACATTAAGCTGAAAATCAGTCTCCTACCTCAGACTAGAGCAATCTCTACCAGTTTAGAGAGGGTAAAAGAAATCGGAGTAACTAAAGGTAAAACTCCCTGTCACTGGAAGGAATCCAATGATTAAATTAAAACCTTAGTCCAAAGGTTTATGAATTGAAAAATACACACAAGTGTGCCTATGTTCAAATATAAAACACTGGAAAACCATGTATTTGATTTAAATATTGGCCAATGGTTGAAGTCATTCTTGCCAACGCCTCATGTACCATTATCAAGAATCCATTGGCAAGCCTCTTGTGATCGCAAATCAATAGGTCTTAAACTGTAAGCTTAGTTTAGAGTTAAGGCCTTAAAGAGGAAGGTAAGTCAAAGCAAACAATTAAGTAAAACAAAGATTTTTTTAAACTTCCAAAAAGATAAATCTAGAACATTTTCTTTATCAATTAAAGGATTGTGCAAATTGCTGTATAATTTCTCGTTTTCTTAACATGGAACAGTAAGTCATTGCTAGCCATACAAGAGTAAGAGTTCTTTATCAAAATTAAGAGATACTCTACCCACAAACTTACCGCTGGTCTCCGAGGTTCTCCAGGCAGTTGTGGAGGGTAAACAATTTTATTCTTCTTCTCCCATTTTCGAGAAATGTCAAGAGAAACACTTGTGTGGATATGTGACTGGTGTAAAACACTGTGAGATGAAAGAAGCCTGTAAAACAACAGAGACTTAGAAATCTTTCCTAGCATGAAGGACATATCTGGTACATGAATACTGAGTAAGTATTTAATCCGAACTTAAATACTCAGTTGTATACTGGCAGATTCTCACACAATATAGGCAGTTGGATGATACACTTGGCAAGGAATGTTTACTCTAAAGAATTTTATTTTATTCTAAAGAATTTTAAAAATATATTCTCCTAGTGGCTCACTGCCCCTACTCTACCCTCAAGTTCACCATCTACATCCTCATACTAAGTTCAGTGCCGACAAAATACCTGACATAATCTGTACCTTTGCGATCCACATTTAGGTTTCAACATTTTAACTGAAAAGCACAAAATTAAGATGCACAATGTTAGAAGGCAGGATTTCCTAATAAAACTATAAGCCAGGCGTTAAGGGCAGAGACTATGGAGTCAAGTAGACAAGAGTCTAAATCTCAACTCTAATACAAGGTAAATGGCCTGTGGAAGTCACATAACTTTCTAGATCTGTTTTCCCATCAGTAAATGGAGTAATAATAGTAATTACCACATAGGCATCTTAAGGAGCTCAAATAAGATACTGTAAGTAAAATATTTAACCTGGTACTTAACAGGAGTCAATAAATTTTAGGTATTATTACTTTTCATATGAGGAGAATAATATCTACTTCATTCTGTTGCTGGTGGATAAATAACATGCCACACCCTACAGTGTGGTAAACACTGATGGCTGGTATTAATTTTAAAATTACCCTACATGGTAAACACTGATGGCTGGTATTAATTTTAAAATAGGCCCTCTTAAAGTTCATCTCTCCTGTTTTCCAAAAAAATAAAAATAAACATTGTGAATTATAAACTTCATGTACACAGTTGCAAACCTTCTCATGTTTATAATCATTATTGTTCATTTCTACAAAGTTGTAAATAGTGGACCCCCTAAGTCTGTCACCTCTTTGGGCCTCAATTTCTTTCTCTATGAAAAGAGGAGTTGGAGTACTTCATCTCCAGGGTCTCTCCAAACTTTAATTCTATCTCTGATCTCATTGTTGACAGCATAATTACAGAAACACAAATCCCTTGGCTTCTATTTAACTCTTCTTCAAAGAAACTACTACCACACTAACCAGTCTGAAAAACTGCTTGCAGGTGAGGACCATGCCTTCTGTATCCCCCACATCTAGCAGTGCCCCTATAGTCCTCAAAACAAATTAATACCTTTAGTGAATTAATAAATTAAACACATTATGAGTTAAAAATGGTAAAGCTTTCTTTCAAAACCTACAACACTTTCATGGCTCAAATGGTTCAGAAAATGAATTATTAAGCAAATACTAAACTGTAATAAAATAAAATTAAAATATATTCCAAACAGGGTACTTGATTCAGAAGTATACTTAATCAAAAGTTCTTATGCACCCTCTCCTGGTCAACCGTTGGAAGAACACTGAATTAAAGCAGAAAATGAAGCAATCATAGGTAAAATTGAAAATAAAACTAATTTAAAACTTAAGGTTTTTATGAAAACTTTTTAAACAAACTCAAGAAAAGGAAGCTGGTGGAATTAATACATATTAGCATGGGTTATTTAGTAATAATATGGCTAATAGTACCCATTTCCTTCTATAAAACTGCTTTCCAACAAATACTAAATTTTAAGTCTGCTTAAAGCTCTAGCTTATTGTTAGTATTCTAAAGAACTGAAGTAAGTTAAAACGTAAAAACAGTAAAATAAACACTGAAAGGCAACCAGGATCAACTTTATCACTTAGAAATTTGAAATGTTATAAAATATCATTACTAGGAAACCCAAATCCCTTCACCTTCACCAGCTCTGTAAACTGGGTGAGGGTAGGTGGGCATGAACCAGTTCCCCACAGGGCCCGTACAGACAGCATCCACATAAGTCCCCACAGGACAGCGATACTGCCAGAGCTCAAGCAGAGAGCAGGTGATACACCGTAACTACCATATGAATCCCCTTCCTCTCAATATTCTGCTCCTTTCTATCTACCACTACTTCAGGATTAAGTTTAAGAATCACTTTTCAGATTCTGCCCATAGTCACTGGCACTGAAGAGTAGCAGAGATAAGCCAAATTTTAGGATTAAGAGGTAATTCAAATAAAAGAGGGTATTTGAAATTGTCTAAAGTCACAATGTGAGAAAACCAACACTTCCTATTTATTCATCATAGTTCATTTTGAAATTTGGTGTACATCCAAGTCCCAGGTGAAGGTAACACTGGCCTCAGGCTCAGTCTTGAGAATATCATATTATATGCATCAAAGTAAAAAACTTATCCCAAATTTACTTCTGTTAACATTAAGTTAACCCCACCTTGAGACTGAATAAAAGAACATCCTCTGTTTTGCTTCAGTTAAAATCTAAAATAGAGGGCTGAAGCATATATTCCCATAACTCAGTATAATTTTACTTTGTGAAAGTCAAGGACAATCAAACAATCAAAGAAAACGAGTTTAGCAAACAAAAAAACAATGAATTCCAGCAACTTTGGACCATAATGAGTTTCTCAACCTTTGCACTGCTGACGTTTGGGACCAAATCATTCTTTACTGTTCTGCCCTGTACCTTGTATGATGTTTACTAGGGTTCCTCATCACTTCCCACTGGATGCCAGTTGCACCCCCTGCCCAAGCTGTGACCACAATATCTCAGATATTGCCAAATGTCCTATGGAGCAGGGGAAGCAAAACTGCCCCCAGGTGAACGTCACTAACTAGCTCAAGGGTGAGTGAAAAAACAAAAAAACAGAAACAGTGCTAGTTTTTGTAAACTATAGAGCATGACCCTCTCTTCCAAAAGGTTTCTGTTACCATGCCATACACATGTGAATGATTAACAGGCCAGATTTTCTCATTTCTCACTACATAAGCCAAGGATGACTGAAAGCATAAATTTTACATTCTTATTCATAAGCCCCAAGTGGGCCCTTACATCTGCTTGGCTTTCCTACTACATTCCCTAGTCTATTTACTCTCCTAGTCTCTATAGACAAACTTCATACCTCTTCTTGCTAGTCAAACTTTCCATATCTCTTCCCCCAAACTACGTCTCAGCTGATAGCCATGCTTATTTCACTGAGAAAATGAAACAGAAGAGAAAGCCCACAAGCTCCCACCACCTAATATGTATCCCCACCTGCATCCATGCATCCATGTCCACACATACTACCTTCTCTAGTTATTACAAATGAACTGCCCATGCCCTAGCTAGTACCAGTCTCATCCCTTGCTCCCTAGATCCCATTCCTTCTCACTTACTCAGTGACATTGCTCTGGAAAGTCTTTCCTCCCTCTTTCCATCACTTTTTTCCTCTTTACCGGATCACTCCCATCATTAAACATATAAACTTTAATATCTCCCAACTTAAACAAACCGTCCCCTGACCAAGACCATCTATCTACTGCCACAAAACTCCTGGTTTCCTAAACTCCCTTTCTCTAATTCCACACATCCATTCACCCTTTACCCTCCCCAGTCAGGCTTTTGCCTCCATCACTCCACCAAAACTGCTTTATCAAGGTCATCAAAGATATCTGTGCTGTAAAATCCAATAGTCAATGACAGTCCTCATGTGAGAATGATCTAAGTATCTCTAGTAAAAGGGGTCTGACCACCCAACAATTTTAATGTCAGGTAGGGAGGAAGGTTCCTCATATCACCAACAAGCAATTCTCCAACACCAGATGGATATCCTACAATTCAACTTAATTCTGACACTATTACCTGTTACCTGTTGCTTCTGACTGGCTGGCTATAAATCAGAGGTTGTCTTGTCAAGACTCTCTCCTTGGATGTGGTTAGTATGCTAGGGAAGCTCCCAGAACTCGGGAAGCCCATTTATTCACTAATTACCAACTTATTACAGGAGATATTAAAGGATATAAATCAACAGGCAGAGATACACAGGGTGGGGCCCCAAACAGAAAGGAGCTTCTGGCCTCATGGAGCTTGGGGCTCCAGCACAGTGGCATTTGGAAGCTCTCCAAACCTCTTCCTTTGGATTTTTATGGCAGCTTCATTACATAGGCATGACTAATTAAATCATTGGCTACAAGTCATTGATTTAACTCCAGCCCCTCTTCCCTCCCTAAATCTGGGGGTAGGTCTGAAAGTTCCACCCGTCTGATCAAGGCTGGTTCCCCTAGCAACCAGACCCCATCCCTAAGTGCTGCCCAAAAGCCACCTCGATATCACAAACCCAACTGCAATGAAAAGGAGTTGTTATGAATAACGGAACACCCATTTCATCTTTATGGATCTGAAGCAATTTCAGGAACTGAGGACAAGAGACCAAATGTGATGACGAAAGATGCTCTCATTGCTCTTATTGCTCATGAACTCCCAAGAGTTTTGGGAACTGTGCCAGGACCATGGACAAAGACCAAATATATATGAGAAATATATTTTGGTCATATGAATGACCAAGTACGTATATTTCTTACAAACCACAGTATGGCATCTTCCTGAGACTCGTTCTTCCTTGAGACACTTTCTTTACTTGGGTTCCAGGACACCACACTCTGGGTTTTCCTCTCGCCTCTCCGGCCACTCTTCCACAGTCTTCTTCCTTGTTTCCTCACCTCCCTGATCTGTAAATGTCAGCTGCCTCAGGTAAGGAATCAGTGCTTGTAGTCTTGTGCTTTCTATCTGCCCTCACTCTCATGGTAAAGTCAACCAGTCTAACAGCTTTAAATACTTTTCATGTACGGATGACTCCCAAACTTACATGCCTTTCCCAAACATTAAACTCATACACACAATTGCCTAATCATGACTTCACCTAGAAGCTCAGTGGACATCTCAAACCTAACAAGGCCCAAGCTGAATTTCTGATATTCGCCCCAAAACTGGATCTTCTGGAAATCTTCTTATCTCAGTAAATGGCAATTCCATCCTTCCAGCCGCTCAGGTCATAAGCAAACCCTGATGTCACCCTTCTTTCTCACAACCCACATCCAATTCATCAGCAGGTCCTGTCAGCTGTCATTAAAATTCTGTCAGAATCCACCATTCACCCACCTTCATAGCCACCCAAATCCAAGCCATCATAATCTCTTACCTGTAATATTCAATGATCTCTGCTTCCATCCTTACTCCCCACCCTCACTCTGGTCTATTCACTACAAAGCAGCTGAAAAAACCACTCATAACCACAAGTCAGATGATGTTATTCCCATACTCAAAACCATCAATGGTTTCCCATCTCACTCTGAATAGAAGTCAAAGTACTTACAATGACCCATAAGGTATCTACATGATCTCCTACTTCTTCCTCCTCTCTGACTTCATCTCCTACTACTATCTCCCTCCTTCCACTCACTATTTTTGACCATATGAGTATGTTCCCTCCCCAGAGACTCTGCACTTACCATTCCATCTGTCCAGAATGCTGTTTTCTCAAATGTTGGCACAGCTTGGTAGCTTGCTCCTCATTTCCTTAAGAACTCTACTCAAATGTTATCCTCCTGGTGAACCCCCACACTCCCGTATAGACACAATTCCTTTTCCCATTTTTCTTTCATTTTCTCCTAAGTACTTGCCACTATATAATGCACTCTATATTGCGCAATTTTTCTTATTTGCCTCCCTCACTAGACTCCACTCGATGAGGGCAGAGACTACAGGCCTACCTCACAGATCTGCAGGAGCAGTTCCAGGCCACCACAATAAAGCAAAGAGCCCAACAAAAGAAGCCAAATGAACTTTATGATTTCCCAGTGAATATAAAAGTTATGTTTTACTTAAGGTACTCTACAAGAAGATATGTCAAAGAAATAATCAATCCTCCCA